GTTCAGTTCCCTGTCAGGGCACATGCCCAGGTGGTGGGCTCGATCCCCAGTGTGGGGTGTGCAGAGGCAGCTGATCAATGATTCTCTCTCATCATGGATGTTTCTAATTCTCTCCCTCTCCCTTCCTCTCTGAAATCAATAAAAAATATTTTTAAAAAGAATTTAATATAAAGAATTGTTACCTAAATACGTATGAAGTTATTGACTAGTAACTGAATAGGTAAAAAGAACTCTGAGGGATTATGGAGTAGCAATTGCAGAAAGCAGCTACCATCCCCAGAAGGAAAGGAACCAAGGGAAGAAGTTGCAATTATTAAAATTTAAAAGATAAGAGGATATTCAGCCATAAAAATGAACCAAGTACGGATACATGCTACAGCTTGGATGAGCTGTGAAAACATTATGCGAGGTGAAGAAGCCAGGCACACAAGTCCACATATCAGATTCCATTCATATGAAAATCCAAAGTAGGGAAATCTATAGAGACAGAAAGTAGATTAGTGGTTACCAGAGGGTGGGAGGGGGAAGTGGGGGTATAGGGAGGGATAGCTAAAGGGTACTGGTTGTTTTTTTTTTAAAGATGTGGTCAAATATACATAAAAGTTCTACTGGACAGCACTGCTCTAGAAAAAACGAGCCAAATATAAGACGCAAACTCAACAGACATCACATGGGTTGTTTTAAAATTAAATACCACTTTATACTTTTCTTTGCACCTAGCACACACATTTTTTTGAAAAATAAGACATGCCATATTAGTCAAGGAGTTAACAAAATATAAGCATCCACATAGAATATATTCTAAGGTGACTTCATTTCCACAGCTTCTCAGAGAAACACACAGTTCTTTTTGCTTATCAGCCAGTGTTGGACCAGACTTAGAATTCACAAGGCTGCAGGGAGGTTCCACACCACCACCCTGATGGATGACGTGTGTCCACACAGCACCATCAAGCTGGCTGGTTTCCACCAGAAAAATAATGGAGATGTCAGTCCTCCCTTCCCTACCCAGCATCCAATTCCACGTTGCAAACCCCCGCGGGATCTCAAGCTTCATGGGATGGTATGGTCAGACCTGGCACTTCATGGGAGGGGTCAAGGGAAGGGGGCGCTGACCGTTTGTCAAAACCGATCAGGAAAACCAGAATCCCAGCCTCTATGCTAGAAAGGAGAGAGAAGCGTGATATTTAATGTGCTTGGAGCATTCAGTTGGGCTTGGGGATAACAGAGCCATGAGAACAAATAACGATTCAGGGATGCGAGTGGAAAGCTGATGTCCCCCTCCCCTGAATAGCAGCGAGACTGCATTTTAATTCCCCGTTTGTGTTCTGTTCGTGTAGGACTGCAGCTTGACCTTGAAAAGGGACATCTGCTATCTCCTGGATCCTTCCTCCATACGTATAAGGCCTCCTTTCCAATCAGTGCCATCCTGCTATTCTCTTCCGCATGAACCATCGATGACTCCCAGGCCTCCTGTGATAACTTTAAGCTGCTGCCGGGCGTTCAAGGTCCTCTGATTGGCTTCCACTGCTTATTGCTCCAGGCTCATCTCCCACCACCCTCCCTGGCTCCCCTGGTGACCCCTCCCTCCCTCCCCATTTCTGTGCCTTTGCAAACACGGGCTCCTCTGCCTGGGAGGTGGGGGTGGGGATGATCACTGGACTTTCCATGCTTTGTCCAAACCTTAGCTAGATTTGTCAATCATCAGTGAGTGGGGCCCAAATCACCTCCATTTTGAATACCCCATTCTAGGCTCAGGGCCTGACCATTAGCAGGACCCCCAAAACTGACATTTTCTGTGACCCCCGTTGCACCTGGCCTGCCCTGCCAGTTTCCCTGTCGGTTTCTGGGTGTTTGTGTCTCCCCCCGCTGGCCTGGAGGGCAGGAACCACTCTTTACTCTTTTTGCCTCACCATCCACATGCTCAAAAAATAGTAAATGCCTCGTAAATCTCACCGTTGCATTGAGTTGACACCTACCCTAAAGGTTAAAAGGCCATTCACTGTCGGCTGCCCTCTTAGGCATGTGAGACACAATACAGAAGTGGTTAAGATACAATACAGACACGGTTACCACAGGCAACAGAGACAGTTTTTTTGAAGTCAAGGAACTAAATCAGTATTAAGCACAATCCATAAAGGTTAATGAGCTACCAACACTGGTCTGGTAACACTGGTATCCTGCCTGTGAGTTAAAGGCTGCGAGGGAAGCAGTAAGTGTAGCTCTAAGCAGTCATCAATGAATGGAGAGAGGCCTCTGATCCTACGGGGGCGGGTGGATATGTGACCTGCCAAATGGGCCCCAGGGAGGAAACAAGGAGCGTCAGTTCCAGCTTCCCAGTAGGAGCGTGTCGGCCCCTGGGGGTTTAAAGCAGACGTCTCTCTCAATGACTAGGCTCTCAAGGTGTGCGATCCTTGGGCTACCAGAACCACCCGGGCTGTGAGTTAAGCATGCAGACGCGTGGGCCCTACCCCAGTCGGAATTTGCATTTTCAATAAACTCCCTAGGGGGGTCCTTAAGATTTGCAAACCTTTTCCTGAACGCAGCCAAGAAGAGGGGGCTGCGGCTCCATTTCTGAGGATGTGTGTGCCTCCCAGACATGTGCCTGGGGATGAGGACCAAGCAGTCTCTGCTGACACGGGGAAAATGAACCAATAACTCAGGCTTGGTGTGTCGGTGTATAATGAGAATGGAGGGGAGGGGAGCGATGCTCTCTCTGAAATGAGCACCCCTCCCCCATCTTACCAGAGGGCACTGGTGAGCAGGAGAATACGGTAAAGCAGCCAGATTGCCTGTCTACCCTTTTATAAGCGAGGCCATCGCCTTTTGTAAGGTGGAGAGGGATTCTTCCCCCGTTATGGGCTGCTGTGCCATCACTCTGCCCCTGTCCTTATTCTCTTAACTTCCCAGTGCCTCTCGGGGCAGGGGGAGGGGGGCGGGGGGAAGCAATCAAGTAGTTCACAGAACCAAAACCAAATGAGTTTTCCGAGTGGATCCACTATAAACACGCCCAGCACATTTCCCTGGGAGGGCACAGACAATGGGAAGGCAGAAGTGCATTTCCTACAGGCAGACGACAGGCTGACCCACCAGCCACGTGTCGTCGACACAAACGTTACCGCAAACATGGGATCACGCGTGAGAGGGTGGCCAGCAGGTGGGGGAAGGCGGGACGGAGAGGTCTCCAGCCTCAAGCGGGGTCTGGAGAGGGCGAGCGGAATCTCGGCCTGGCTTGAGCGCTGAAGCATGTGGCGAGCTTTGGTCCCTGACTGAGGAAGCCCAGTTACCAAGGGCAAGGAGGGCAAGGCCTTCTAAACCCGCTGGACTCACCGGAGAGGCCGATTCCCGACCACCCACCGGGAACACTGCTTTCGTCCTCCCCGCTCACCCCTAACATCGGAAATGTCCAAGACCACGATAAACATCACCTCTGCTGGAGACAAAGCCCTTTCAAGATCCCCCTCCATACAGTTCCCGGCTTTAAAAAAAAAAATACAACTTGAAAGGCGAGATTTAGAGTGAAGAGTTGAACCACCGTGGGCACGGCTTGCGTGGTTGCAAGTGGAGGGGAGGGGAAGTCTCCTTCGGGTGAGCTCACTCCTTCTTGGTGTGTTCCAGGACTCGGTAGGGGACGCCGGGGGCGCTCCTGGAGCTGTGTTCTTCCTGCATGACGGGCAGCGTGGCCGGAGCATAGACCTCAGAAATGTTGTCATTGTTTTCCAGGGCCCCGTAGGAAAAGGAAGCTTTGAGGTCGGGCTGGACTACCATCCCCTTGTCATGCATGTTCTGCATCCCTGAAAGGAAACCCATTTCCCCCCAATCATTATGTGGGGAGGGGGCCGAAGGAGGCTGTGCCTTCCGCCGTCCCACCACAGAATAACTAGAGTGCTGAGAGCTAATCGTGTGCATTGCCCATTTCCTGAATGCTTTAGATCGAAAAAAGGACACCCATAAATATACACTAGAAACATTACGGTTGCTAAGCAAGAAGGGGTGTGTCTTCAGGAAATAGGCACACAGACCAGCCACTGTCAGGAGAAACCCTGGGTTGGCCTAGAATGAGGCGGGAACATCTGTTTGGGCCGAGAGGGGCGTGGGACCACAGCTGTGCTCTGAACATGGTAGATGCCGTCACTTTTCTGCTGGATGAGATTAGGACCCAGGAAACCTCATTAGACTGTTGACAGAGAAGGTAAGTTTTGTGTCACGGACGCGTCATAGTGACAGACGCATCACGGTGCTCAGAGGGAGAGTTCTGACCCGAACATTAACATCCCCGATCCACACGTAGGGGAAGGTGTGCTTTATCTTATTACTTCTGGGCACACTGATGTCGGATTTCTACTTACATTTGAGGGCTAAGACTTTAGCCATGAATTCCTTTGACTTTATTCTACAACCCCCCCTCTCCCTAGTCAGGTGGAACCTGGTCTTTTCTGAGACCAACTCTTACCTTGTAGGGAGTTAAGACCCTTCCAATTCTCTTGCTCCCACGCTGAGTCATAAGACACTGAATGCAAAGTGCTGTCTATAAAAGCGCAATGATGGTGGTAACGGCTGACACCGACTGCTTAATAGGCCTCAGACACTGCGCTAAGTGCTGTAAATAGTCATAGTCACAACAGCAATCATGATAATACCTACGTGGACTGAATGTTTATCTGGGGGCGACACTGTTTTTAAACGGTTATAAAGTTTTATCTCGTTCTATCCTTGCACCGACCAATAAGGAAAATGAGGCAGTTGGAGGCCACAGAGCTGTTAAGTGGCAGTGCCACCAGGATTTGCTCAGGGGGTTTAGACTCCGAAGCCCATACTCTTAAGTGGAATGCTGTGTGGGCCACCCTACACACCTGCACGTAATCTCCAAAAATCCCAAGACAAAGAGACGCTACTCTCCCCGTTTTCAGGACAAGACAGATCCAGAGAGGGGAAGTAACTTGCTCAAGGTCACACAGCTAATGAGAGACAGAGCTGGCGTCTGACACCAAAGCCCGTGCTCTTACCCACTCGACAGAGGGGCTGGCAAGACCCAGTTCGTGGAAGGACCCTTGTTCCCACGTTGCACGAGCCTTAGCTGATGGTCATTTGAAGGACACAGTTGAAGAGTCTGTGGCCTGAATTTGGGGGGTGGGGGGAGATGGAGGGATGCCGAATCCTCAGGGAACAGAGCTGCCTCCCCAGGGGCAGGTTAGCTTTCGGATTCTGTCAATGCTCTCTGGCCACAAACCATCAGGAGCACACCCTGAGTCTAACAAATCTGGCTTTACCGGCCCATTGCAATGAGGGAGGTGGACAGCATGGGGAATGGGGGTGTGTAAGTAAGAAGGCGTTACATTAGACAGGACTTGTTATTTGGGTGTGTGTTGGGTGAGTGGGGAGGGTTTAAGGAAGCAGGGCTTTGCTTTGGAGTAGATGCTGCCAGGAAGTGGGGATAATTCTATCATCGAGGATCTTAGTGATTCTTATCCAGAAGAAGAGAAGACCAGACTAAGGCTACAGCTGTGACTGGTAAAGAGCAGCAGTCACTCATGAGAGGGGGATGGTTGCTGCTTTTTGTGGTTTGAACAACGTTCCGTGTCGTCTGGTTCGGGCATGATTCTGGAGTGGCCCTGTTTGTGCCCTGATCCGTCAGGGTCACAGGCGGCCTGTCTGAGGTGGGTGTTCTGTGAAGCCCGTTGTGTTCAGCCAGGAGCCCCGAGGCCCAGCTCCCACCTAGCAGGGGCTGCTTCTCTCTCTCTCATTCTCTGCATGCCTTTCCGGTGCTAGAATTGCCTAAAGCTTCTCCGGGTTGTGGCAGGTAGTGATGCTTTGGGATTTTAATGCCTCCTCAACAGTAGCTAGTCTGTCGTGCAGACCCCAGTCTAGGCAGACCGAAAGCAAGGTCCAAATGCTGACCAGGGAAACCAAATAGTCCGAAAAGCCACTCTGTTTAAGCAGGTTTATTCTTCAAGTTCCACCCGGCATCAGGTCAAACACGTGCTCAAAATTTTCACAGCTTTTGTTAAAGCAAAAGGGAAGTGGAACCAAATGTAACCAGGCATCTACCATGTCCCAGACGCTGTGCACGGGGGCCTTGGACATATTATCCCACGACCCTGAAAGGAGTCCCAATGCACAGGTGAGGGTCAGAGGCCAAGGCCGCAGAGCGGGTAGGGGTAGAGCTGGGATTTGAATCCAGATCATCGGAACTCTAAGCCCAAGCTCTTCATAGAGCAGAACACCTGTCTACTCAGAAGTGTGTGGCCTGCCACAGCCATAGGGCGGGCCTCCTTTCCTCAAAACCTCCTTCCCACTGGTCACAGGGTACAACGCGGAAGCAAGAGCCACACCCACAGACAGGCCACAGAATGTTGATCTTTAGGGTCACCTTCGGTCACCTTCTATTTTCTACCCGAAAACACATCTGTATATGAGCATATACGAATACGCATACAGGTATATACACATACACAGTTTGTCAACACACCAACGCACAGATACGGACACATACTTGCACACACACAGGGTTGACACCTCACCTATCTGGAATTCAGCTATCCAGCGCCCTCATCTCATCTATCCGGAACACAGCCGAGAACAAGGAAGTAAGCAAAAAAGGCATCTGAGCAGCCAGGTTAGAGGTTTAAAAAGTCCATGCACTAAAGCTCATGCACGTAACGCCTCGGAGAAGCCTGAAGGCCCCAACTCAGAGCTTACTTATTTTAATTTCATACACAATTCAAACACGCTGGGTCCAATGAGAACACTGACACGGAGGTGCTATGCCGGTAACAGCAGGAATTTTGGGCTGGTACCGGCAAGAATGACAGACAACGGCTTTATGGCGAGAGGTGGGGAAATAATGTAACGAGTAGACACACACACCCTGGGGTCATTGAGAGAGGGGCACCTCAGTCAGCCCTGAGAACACACCTACATCGCGGAGTTCTGTACGAAGCAGCACTCTATGCCAGGGGTCTTCAAACTTTTTAAAAAGGGGGCCAGTTCACTGTCCCTCAGACCGTTGGAGGGCCGGACTATAGTTTAAAAAAAGAAAACTATGAACAAATTCCTATGCACACTGCACATATCTTATTTTGAAGTAAAAAAACAAAACGGGAACAAATACAGTATTTGTATTTGCATGTGGCCCGCGGGCCGTAGTTTGAGGACCCCTGCTCTATGCCATCAATGTGATCACATTTTGTTCATTAGACTGTCGTAAGGAAGCGTGGGGGAGAATTCTATCTAATAGATTGAAAATAAAAACTGCGAGTTAAAGAGTGACAACTAGTGTTCACTGGCAACTCATAGAATGTAGGTCAGCAGATGTGGACCGGGCTGGCCCAACGTCCTCACTTTTCCAACCGAGATCCCTTCCGGCTGGACAGAGCCTCTCCGCGTCTCCACAGGCCACGCAGCTCCCTTTTGTGCAATACTTTGCTGATTCACACGTTTGTGTTACTGTTAGGCCTTAAAGACATTCGAGCTTGTGCGTCTCAGCGTGAACCCTTGGCTCCCTGGGAAAGTAGGTTTTCCGGAGCAATCCGCTCCTTTGTGGTCTAAGGAGTGAGGTTTTAGTATTTGAATTTCATTCATCCTACTTTCATTATTTTTTTCTTTTTCTTTTTTTTCCCATTCATTCTACTTTCCTTGCCCTCTCTGATCACTCCATTCCAACTAGATACATGGGTTTTTCCTTTTGCAGGCATGAAGCCTGATGCTGCAGATCATAATTAATTATATCCAGCATGAATCAGGATTGTCTTTAAAAGATCCCAAAATAGACATGGGAACTGGCAAGATGTGCTCAAAACCAACTGAGGCTCCTCAGCCATTGCCTCCTCTTTTGCACACTGAGACTAAAAAAAAAAAAAAGAAAAAAAGAAAAGAAAGAACGACAATCACACCATAACGGCACAGCACACGTCCCCTGTACCAAACCCAGCCGCAGGCTGTCTCTTTTTAAACAGGAAGTAGCAGCCATTCTATATGGATGAGCAGGCCAGCTGGAGACACGGGCTTTTAATGTTACCTGGCATGGCATCCATGGAAATATAGGGCTCAAATGGAATGGCCTTCTTCCTGTTCCGTGTGATTAAGAAGACGCCCAAGAATGCGATGAGGCACCTGAGGGACAGAGAGATAAGGGAGGAAGAGAAATAAGGCCAGAGTGAGGCTGGGAGGGATCCTTTCAAACCCAGGCAATGGAACACAGGTAGAAAGAAGGCTGCAGGCTGCGGAGGTGGGTGTTCACTGCAGAGCAGCCCTGAGAGGCTGCTGGGCCTGAGATCAGCGGGGAGCAGACGTGAGATGAATAATAGCTCCACGCGCCCTACACTCTGCACAAGCCTTAATCAGGATAAATTAGACTCGCCCAGGCAAAACTCTCACAGTCCTTTACCTCCACTGAGCCTGGATCTCAGAACCTTGCCTTTAAACGTATTTGTTTTCACTTAAAATGTTCTCTAAAGCCTAAGTGTAATCAATACAGGAGTAGAGAAAGTAAAAATTGGGAAGTCCTTGTACTCTCCCAGTCCCACTCCCTCAGGCAGGTGTATATTCTTCCAGAGTAATTCTTTGTTTTTTTCCTTTTCCCTGGAGCCTGGATAAACAAGCACACTTTCTAAAAATGGAGGTATGGCCTGGCTGGTGTGGCTCAGTGGTTGAGCATCGACCCATGAACCAGGAGGTCATGGTTCGATCCCAGTCAAGGCACATTCCCGGGTTGTGGGCTTGATCCTCAGTAGGGGGCGTGCAGGAGGCAACTGATCAATGATTCTCTCTCATCACTGATGTTTCTATCGCTCTCTCCCTCTCCCTTCTTCTCTCTGAAGTCAAGAAAAACATATTTGTTAAAAATATATAAAATAAAAACGGAGGAATGATTTTCATGCAGTTAAGAGCACAAAGCCTAAGTATAGAGGCCCATCATTTAATCTGTGTACACACACGTGTGATCGCCACCAGGTCAGCAGAGAAGGCATTTCCATCCCCCACGCCCCGCCCCCAACTCCAGAAAGTGTCCCTGACCTCTTCCCAAGTCATGCAACCCTCCCAGAGGAAACCACCACTGTGACTTCTCTCACCACACATTCGATCTGCCTGTTTATGAACTTCTGGGGAGCTACCTCATAGTGTGTATGACTCTTTTTATGGCTAGCTTCTCTCAGCCAGTACATGTTTTTAAGATTCATCCACTTTATTGTGTGTCTGTGTCTTAGTTCATTATTTTTAACTAGAGGCCAGTGCACAAAATTTGTGCACGGGGTGGGGGGGGGGGCGGGGTCGCTCAGCCTGGCCTGTGCCCTTTCGCAGTCCAGGAGCCCTCAGGGGATGTCTGACTGACGGCTTAGGCCTGCTCCCTGTGGGCATCCTTAGCGCTGCTGCGGAGGTGGGAGAGGCTCCCCCCCACCACCACTGCTCTCGCCAGCCATGAGCCCAGCTTCTGGTGCACTGACCTCCAGGAGGCAGCTCCTGCATTAAGTGTCTGCCCCCTGGTGGTCAGTGCCATTATAGCGACCAGTCCTTCTGCGGTTCGGTCAATTTGCATATTAGCCTTTTATTATATAGGACTAGAGGCCCAGTGCACGAAATTCGTGCATGAGGGGCAGAGGGGGGCGTCCCTCAGCCCGACCTGCACCCTCTCTAATCCGGGAGCTCTCAGGGGATGTCCTACTGTCGGCTTAGGCCTGCTCCCCATGGTTCTCTGCTGTCTGCAGGGCCCGCTTGGCCGCTCCCGGGTTGCCGCGGTGATGGCCAAGCAGGCCCTGCTCTCAGTGGCCGCCCCCCAGGACTGGAGGACTCCAGTGGGGCTGAGAGGACTGGGCACCGCCATCTTGTGGCTTTGGGTGCCGCCATCTTTGTGTCAGAGTGATGGTTAATTTGCATATTACTCTTTTATTAGATAAGATTGTTGTGTTGAACCCATTATCTGAATATACTACAATTTGTTTTCTACTCTCCTATTGATAGACATTTGGATTATATCCAATTTGAGCATATTATGAATAAAGCTACTGCAAATATTCATGTATAAGTCATTTTTTTGTCAATATATGTACTAATTTCTTTAAGGAATATATCTAGAGGTGGAACTGTGGGATCTTAGACTAGACCAGTGATGGCGAACCTATGACACGTGTGTCAGAGGTGACACGCGAACTCATTTTTTTGGTTGATTTTTCTTTGTTAAATGGCATTTAAATATATAAAATAAATATCAAAAATATAAATCTTTGTTTTAATATGGTTGCAAATATCAAAAAATTTCTATATGTGACACGGCACCAGAGTTAAGGTAGGGTTTTTCAAAATGCTGACACGCCGAGCTCAAAAGGTTCGCCATCACTGGACTAGACTATACATTAAAAAAAAAAAAAGTAACTTTTTTCGTCTAATGTATCCTAGACATGGTTCTATGTCAGTACTATAGACTGACCTCAATTTTTCAAAATGGCACCGTGGTACCTTATTACATGAATATATTATAATTTAATCTGTTTCTACTGCTGGGCATTTAGGTTGCTTCCAATTATTTGCTTATACCATTGATTTTAAAATTAATGTGTTTTTGTGTCCCATTTCAATTATTTTCCCAAAATAAATTAGAAATGAAATGCTACATCAAAAATATGCTCATTTAAAATTTTTACTGATACGGGCAAATTGCCCTCTCCCACATTAAAGAGCTTCTCACAGTCTCCTCATCCTCTGGCCAACGTGAAATATTACCAATCCTATTAATTTTCGCAAAATGATAGCGTCTCAATATGTATTTCTTTGATCTGAGGTCAGGTTGCCAGGCCTTTCATGTGTTAAAATGTGGTTTTTAGAAAGGACAGGGAGATGAAAGCCCAACAGAGAAGAAAGGGGAGGAAATGAAGCCCTCGGGGAGGAAAGTGCTCACCTCTGGGGAGAGAGCCAGTCCCAGCCGCTCCGGCCTCAGGGATTGCCTGGCCTCAGGGATTGCCTGGCCTCAGGGATTGCCCGGCCCTCAGGGATGCCCGGGCCTCAGGGATTGCCCGGGCCTCAGGGATTGCCCGGCCTCAGGGATTGCCCGAGGGGCTGAAGCTATAATGGGAGAGAGGCGACCTGCCTGGAGCTGTACACGCAAGGCCCTGGGGCCAGAGAGGAGGCCGGGACTCACCCCAGTGCAAACATGCAGATGTGCAGCGCGTCCTCCCCGATGAAGTCCAGGTAAAATACTGCGCCTGCAGCAAATAATGCAAAATGCGAGTGAGCTGTTTTCAGATCACCTACTTGCCAGTCTGTCTGGGATTTGGCTAAGCCAGCGGTTCTCAACCTGTGGGTCGCGACCCCTTTGGGGGTCGAACGACCTTTTCACAGGGATTGCCTAAGACCATCGGAAAACACATATATAATTACATATTGTTTTTGTGATTAATCACTATGCTTTAATTACGTTCAATTTGTAACAATGAAAATACATCCTGCATATCAGATATTTACATTACGATTCATAACAGTAGCAAAATGACAGTTATGAAGTAGCAACAACAATAATTCTATGGTTGGGGGTCACCACAACATGAGGAACTGTATGAAAGGGTTGCGGCATTAGGAAGGTTGAGAACCACTGGGCTAAGCTCTCTTGCCTGTAGGAAACCAAAGGGATCAAAACAGATGGTGACCGCACCTAGTAAAATATGAGGAGAACCGAATTAAAGCCACTCCAGGGAATAGATTGTCTTCTTTTCCCCCTTTCGATGCCCCTCTTACCTCCATCATTTTTTAACTTTGTATTTTGAGAGAATACTAGACCCACAAAGATAGTGCAAGGTTTCCATGTACCCTCCCCCCAGGTCCCCCCAATGAAACAACACCAGGATCTAGGAACTAAGCTGCAGACCGTATTTACCAGTTTCCACATGCTCCTCTTCCCCATCTTTCTTTTTTTGTTTTAAACATATTTAAAAAAATTTTTTTTATTGATTTCAGAGAGGAAGGGAGAAGGAAAGATAGAAACATCAACGATGAGAGAGGATCATTGATCAGCTGCCTCCTGCATGCCCCACACTGGGGATTGAGCCCACAACCCGGGCATGTGCCCTGACTGGAAATCAAACTAATGAACCCTTGGTTCATGGGTCAATGCTCAATCACTGAGCCACACCGGCCGGGCCACATTGGTTCTTACTGGCCTTTTTTAACTCTGAAGATTTTATTATTTTATTTGATTATTTTTATTTTTTTAAATGTGTTTTATTGATTTTTCTAAAAATATATTTTATTGATTTTTTACAGAGAGGAAGGGAGAGGGATAGAGAGTTAGGAACATCGATCAGCTGCCTCCTGCACACTCCCTACTGGGGATGTGCCCGCAACCAAGGTACATGCCCTTGACTGGAATCAAACCTAGGACTCTTCAGTCCGCAGGCTGACGCTCTATCCACTGAGCCAAACCGGTCAGGGCTAACTCTGAAGATTTTAGTTGCTATTGCCACTTAAAAACAAACAAACTCTGCCCTGGCCAGTGTGACCCAGTTGGTTGGAGCATTGTCTCATGTACCAAAAGATTGCAGGTTCAATTCTTGGTCAGGGCATATACCTAGGTTGCAGGTTATATCCTGGTTGGGGTGCGTACAGGAGGCAACCGATCGATGTTTCTCTCTCCCCCTCCCCATCCTCTCTCTCTAAAATTAATAAAAACACTTCTTTGGGTGAGGATTAAAAACAAAAACAAAAAAACTCTAACATGCTTGCAGCCTCTAAAGCCACCACAGAAAGAAAAAAATAAATTAGGGGTAGAGTAGAAGAAAAGAAGAACATAATCATCATCATCTCTACATTGTCGTTGATTGAGTTCCTATTATGTTGCAGATGCTTCATATAGTCACAATCTCCAAAATTTATGTAGAAGAAATTTGTGGTTTCTTGTCCAATGGAGGCTGTGGCGCTAGCAGATGATGGCAAAAATTGTTAAAGAAGCCTTGCATAAACTCTACAAAATAGGGGCGTTTGGATTGTACATATTTCAATTTCAGGAGGTAAGTGTTGTTACTTCTATTTTATGAATGTAGAACTTAGGCACAGAGAGGTTAAGTGATTTTTCTCAGAGCCACGCAGCTCTGTGTCTATGCTGGGATGCAAACCCAGGTCTTTCTGGCTCTAAATCCTGTATTTTCTTCTTCTTTTTTAAATCTCACCAGAGAATATGCTTTTATTGATTTTAGGGAGAGAGGAAAGAAGAGAGAGAGAGAAACATGGATGGTTGCCTCTCCTACTCACTCTGATGGGGGATTGAACCCACAATCTAGGTATGTGCCCTGACCAGGAATTGAACCTGCAACCTTTTGTGTATGGGACAATGCTCCAACCAACTGAGCCACCCAGCCAGGGCTAAATCCTACACTTTTTCCGTGGGCAGAATGAGTCAATGGAGTTGGCCTTCGGACCAAGGAGGATCCCCCTCCCTCCACACTGGGGTACTATCCCTGCTGCTAAGGTAGGAGACAGAAACCTAGCAACCGGCAACACTTACCGGCTGTGATGGCGATGGTTGTGGACAGAATGTAGCCCACGCTAGCAATCAAAGAGGAGTCGTACATCTGTGAGGCTTGACTTAAAAACCTGCGATACAAAAGCACTCTGGTCAGTGGGCTGTGGGGGTGTTGGAAAGGCTGGTGAAAGCTGGTGGCAGCAGCCGTGGTTTGAAATATGAAGATGATGCATCCCTGGGCTCATAAAGAAGCCGTCTGTGTGTCTCTAGGTCTGAGGCCCCTGCTTTGCTCCTCTTCCTCCCCAGATTCATAACCGGAGGCCCATCCCCGCCCCCCAAGAGGTCTGTGCCTTCCCCGGCTCACACCTTCGACCACGTGGTTCTTGTTATTGGAAATGCCCTTCCCCTCACGTCTGGGCCCCCGAGCCCCCACCCCACTAACAAGAACCTTTCCTGGTGGCGTGAACACTCCAAGAAACTCTATTCACTTGTGACATTCTGTCTTGTTAACTATTTTTTTTTAAACAAATTTTCTTCTTAATTAAAAAACAATGTGATCACTGTAATATACAGGGGTGGGCAAAGGTAGGTTTATCGTTGTGAGTATGGGACAGTTTATTCTTATATTATAATCATAACCTACATGTCTTTTTTTCCATACACACAACTGTAAACCTACTTTTGCTAACCACTGTTTATAGGAAAAAGAGGGGAAATTGGAATTATTCCTAACCTCGCTGTCTAGGATAAAACTGCCATTGTTTTAGGATCTATTCTTTGTCCGTTCTCTGTGTACTATTTTAGTTATTTATCTGCTTACACCATAACATACTTCCCACTCAACAGTCATCCTGTTTACCGGGCTGCCCCCCAGTGAATCGGAGGACAGTGGCTGTTGTTCCTTGTCTGTGTGTGTGGAAGGGCCTGCACGGGCCTGGCACACAGTAGGCCCTCAGTGCATGTGGCTGACTGGGTGAGTGAGAAGCTCCCAGAGGTGGGCGGGGCATCCGATCCATCCTTGTAACCCTAGGAGCGCTGGGCACAGAGCCGGCGTGGCTGTTGTCCTTGTCTGTGTGTGTGGAAGGGCCTGCACGGGCCTGGCACACAGTAGGCCCTCAGTGCATGTGGCTGACTGGGTGAGTGAGAAGCTCCCAGAGGTGGGCGGGGCATCCGATCCGTCCTTGTAACCCCTGGAGCGCTGGGCACAGAGCCCGGCACTTGGCAGGGCCTCAGCGGTGAGGACCAGACTCGTTGCAGTCGGACGAAGAACAGAAACAATGGACATAGGAATAGGAATACTGACCATCAGAGCTGATACGCAAGGGACGTTATCCTCGGTGGTGAGAGCTCCCTGTGATTCTCTCAGGTAGGGATTGTTACTCTCATTTGCAGACAGAGAATCTGCATCTTAGGGAAGCTGAGGGGTAAGGGCTGTGGGCTGGGAGCAGGGTGCCTGGGTTCAAACCTCAGCTCCACCACTTCCTGGCCTTTTAACCTCGGCCTTGACTGTATCATCTGCCGGAATGGGGTGTTGTGGGATGAAATGAATTCACGTGGAATCAGTGAGAGTAGAGCTGGCTTGCCCTGGACATTAGTCATTCCCACAATCCCTCGAGGCCACGCCGGTGGACAGGGAGCCAGGCCGCTGGAGAAGCAGCCTCACGCGTCACACTGAAACCCGCACAGCTCACCCTCCTGCCCACACAGCATGGTCAGCTTCCTGCCAGGCCCACGCAGGGCACCAGGCTCAGATGTAAACAAGGCCCAGGCTGCCCTCAGCCCGGATGCTTTTGACTTAATTCTTGTGCTTAGAGAGGGAAGCGACCACCTCGCTCTTCCACTTGGGAAGCTTTGGGGGCGATTTCTTGAGGACAGGAAATGACAACCTCGTGTTGTTCACCTAGTGGACAAATGGGTGCCTCACGGGCACGGCACAGCCCGAGTCCCTGACACGGACGCCTGCCTGGGAGCATGCATTTCTCACAGTTTGAGGCAGAGGGCCAAACACATCCACTCCAGGCTTTGTCTTTGAAGCCACAGAGCCCCGTCCGCAGGACAGCTCAGCGAATTAGCAGCCCCCGCTCTCCCCACAGCAGGTGCCAAGCCCTGGCGGAGGCTGCATCCGAATGCTCTGCCTTCCCTACAGCTTCAGAAACAACGTAATGAGGCCCAGAAAATGGAAGAGCCACAGAGGAAAAGAACACGCAACTCACGCGGCTTGATAGATGGCCGTGGCCACCATGCACACGAACATCACGTAGAAGATGGGGTAGTCGAGCTGCAGGTTCCCCTGGATGGACAAGACGAGCATTCCGGCCACGGCCTTCACCGTCACCACCGTCATGGAGCCTGCAGGGGGAGCACAAAAAAATTTTTTTATTGCTTAAATTATTACAAAGAGTATTACATGTTTCTCCTTTTTTTCCCCCGCCCTTGAAAATTCCCTGGCCTCCCCCAGTTTATTCTTATATTATAATCATTACCTACATGTCTTTTTTCCATACACACAACTGTAAACATACTTTTGCTAACCACTGTTTATATGAAAAAGAGGGGAAATTGGAATTATTCTTAACCTCTCAGTCTAGGATAAAACTGCCATTGTTTTAGGATCTATTCTTTGTCCGTTCTCTGTGTACTATTTTAGTTATTTATCTGCTTACACCATAACATACTTCCCACTCGACAGTCATCCTGTTTACCGGGCTGCCCCCCAGTGAATCGGAGGACAGTGGCTGTTGCTCCTTGTCTGTGTGTGTGGAAGGGCCTGCACGGGCCTCGCACACAGTAGGCCCTCAGTGCATATGGCTGACTGGGTGAGTGAGAAGCTCCCAGAGGTGGGCGGGGCATCCGATCCGTCCTTGTAACCCCTGGAGCGCTGGGCACAGAGCCCGGCACTTGGCAGGGCCTCAGCGGTGAGGACCAGACTCGTTGCAGTCGGACGAAGAACAGAAACAATGGACATAGGAATAGGAATACTGACCATCAGAGCTGATACGCAAGGGACGTTATCCTCGGTGGTGAGAGCTCCCTGTGATTCTCTCAGGTAGGGATTGTTACTCTCATTTGCAGACAGAGAATCTGCATCTTAGGGAAGCTGAGGGGTAAGGGCTGTGGGCTGGGAGCAGGGTGCCTGGGTTCAAACCTCAGCTCCACCACTTCCTGGCCTTTTAACCTCGGCCTTGACTGTATCATCTGCCGGAATGGGGTGTTGTGGGATGAAATGAATTCACGTGGAATCAGTGAGAGTAGAGCTGGCTTGCCCTGGACATTAGTCATTCCCACAATCCCTCGAGGCCACGCCGGTGGACAGGGAGCCAGGCCGCTGGAGAAGCAGCCTCACGCGTCACACTGAAACCCGCACAGCTCACCCTCCTGCCCACACAGCATGGTCAGCTTCCTGCCAGGCCCACGCGGGGCACCAGGCTCAGATGTAAACAAGGCCCAGGCTGCCCTCAGCCCGGATGCTTTTGACTTAATTCTTGTGCTTAGAGAGGGAAGCGACCACCTCGCTCTTCCACTTGGGAAGCTTTGGGGGCGATTTCTTGAGGACAGGAAATGACAACCTCGTGTTGTTCACCTAGTGGACAAATGGGTGCCTCACGGGCACGGCACAGCCCGAGTCCCTGACACGGACGCCTGCCTGGGAGCATGCATTTCTCACAGTTTGAGGCAGAGGGCCAAACACATCCACTCCAGGCTTTGTCTTTGAAGCCACAGAGCCCCGTCCGCAGGACAGCTCAGCGAATTAGCAGCCCCCGCTCTCCCCACAGCAGGTGCCAAGCCCTGGCGGAGGCTGCATCCGAATGCTCTGCCTTCCCTACAGCTTCAGAAACAACGTAATGAGGCCCAGAAAATGGAAGAGCCACAGAGGAAAAGAACACGCAACTCACGCGGCTTGATAGATGGCCGTGGCCACCATGCACACGAACATCACGTAGAAGATGGGGTAGTCGAGCTGCAGGTTCCCCTGGATGGACAAGACGAGCATTCCGGCCACGGCCTTCACCGTCACCACCGTCATGGAGCCTGCAGGGGGAGCACAGGCATGCTGGGGCCTCAGGAACACAGAGGGGGGCAGACCCTGACAGTCAGTTTGTAACCCCAAAGGGCTTGTGAAAAGGATGGAGGGAACCCGGGCACGGCCAACCCAGGGATTCCCGTGGTGAGAAGACGCTGTCTGTCCCGGATCGCAGGGACTTCTCCCGGGAGCTGCCTGCTGTCTGTGCTGCTACATCAAAGAAGCGAGGAAAGTACAGTGGGGCCTTGACTTACGAGTGTCCCGACTAACGAGTTTTTCGAGATACGAGCCGTCTCTCGACCGATTTTTTGCTTTGAGTTGCGAGCTAAAATTCGGGTTACGAGCCAGCTTCGGATACCCCACCGCTAGTTGGCACAGCGAACGTCACAGTGAACGCCACAACATCAGCCCAGCATCACGTGTCTCACTTTTGATTTGACATACGAGTAATCTGAGTTACAAGCTCCGTCACGGAACGAATTAAACACGTAAGTCAAGGCCCCACTGACATACGAGTAATTTGAGTTACGAGCTCCGTCACAGAATGAATTAAACTCGTAAGTCAAGGCCCCACTGTAAAGCCTTGACAAGTATTTCCAAGCATTGCTTCTACACCCCTAAGAGCAATGAGTTCAGGTCTCTGTGTCTGGAACACAGTGGAAGGCCCGAACCATCTTTGAATGGATAAATGAACTTTCTTCCTCCTTGTCTGTGTGTGTGGAAGGGCCTGCACGGGCCTCGCACACAGTAGGCCCTCAGTGCATATGGCTGACTGGGTGAGTGAGAAGCTCCCAGAGGTGGGCGGGGCATCCGATCCATCCTTGTAACCCTAGGAGCGCTGGGCACAGAGCCGGCACTTGGCAGGGCCTCAGTGGTGAGGACCAGACTCGTTGCAGTCGGATGAAGAACAGAAACAATGGACATAGGAATAGGAATACTGATATGCAAGGGACGTTATCCTCGGTGGTGAGAGCTCCCTGTGATTCTCTCAGGTAGGAAGAAAAACATGTCATGTGTAAAGAGTTCTTTTTAAAAACATGTCTTTGGACAAAGGTCCCCCAATGTTTCAAAACCGTACCCCCAATGTGTATGCACATGCTTTTCCAATATACATGTGTTTATTGTTCTACAATGATAGTCATGCAACACTGTGAATATGTATGTACATTATGAAACGCTTATACGCGTGTACATTATGAAACGTGTAGGAAATACCACTGAAAAGGTGGAGATAAGGATAAATTCTAATATGTTCTTCTCCCAGCCCTGGGGGACCCCTCGCTCACCTCATCACGGAGACCATTGCTGGTGCAGAAATGACTCCTAAGGGGAACCTGTCAGGGCCCCCGGCGAAAGCAGGAGGTAAAAGAAACCTCCCCCAACTAGGGTACAAATGGAGGCCCTTATTCTGGCCGAGATGCTCTGCCTTCCTAGCTGCCTCAGCTTCTGCTCATCCTGCCTTCTCCTGCCCATCGCACACGTGGCTTCTGGGCCCCTCGGTCCACAGACTGGTTTTCAAACACCCCAGCCAGTTACGACAGCCTTCACCAGGCTGCCCTTGTGGGGCAGAAGGGGACAGAGGAGAGTGGCCGATGGGCCTCAGGACCTTCTGGGCTTCCTACTCAGCAGGAGAAAACGTTCTGGGGCCACGACCTTCCGATCCACGTTTAAAACAAAGTCCTCAAGAGATGGACCACCGACACACGTTATAACACGGATGGACCCCTAACACATCATGCTCAGTGAAAGAAGCCAGTCACGAAAAGCTGCACAGTGTATGACTCCATTTCTATGGTTCACCCGGAAAGCCAAGTCCGTAGACAGAAGGGGAGCCAGAGGTCAGCCAGGGGCTGGGAGGAGGAGGAGGGGATGGGACTGACGCTAATGGGTCAGGGCGTCTTTGGGAAATGTTTGAAAAAGTTTGAAATGTGATTACGACAGTTGCATAACTCTGTGAATACACGAAAAGCCACTGAATCGTGTACTTTAAACAGGTGAACTTTATGGTGTGTGAATCATATCTCAATAAGACTGTTTTTAGAAAAATCAAAATAATCAACCCTGTCTTGTGGTGGCACCTCTGTGTGTCCCTGGAGTGGGGGCCCGCCACGGGAAAGACAGAAGCGAAACAACAGGTGTGGGCACTTGTGCTTGTCTCACTGAGTCGCCCCCCAGATCTGGGTGCTCTCTTACGCCCAGTGTCAGAGGACAGTGCGGCTTCATCAGGGCGAGTGACGGGGAGGAGCAGCAGGGTTTCCCCACCCCCTCCTTCCCCGGGAAGCACAGGTTCCGCCCCCTCCCCTCACCCCTCTGCCCCCCAGATCTGGGTGCTCTCTTACGCCCAGTGTCAGATCAGGGGACAGTGCGGCTTCATCAGGGAGAGTGACGGGGAGGAGCAGCGGGGTTTCCCCACCCCCTCCTTCCCCGGGAAGCACAGGTATTTATCAAAGCTCCAGTGAGTGACCACACACTGTGCGGGTTAGCGCCTGCCCCAAGCTGATGTAGGAACTGCGTCCCCCGTGGCACCCGTCCCTCTAAGACAGTGGTTGGCAAACTGCGGCTCGAGAGCCCCACGCGGCTCTTTGGGCCCTTTGGAGTGGGGGCCCGCCACGGGAAAGACAGAAGCGAAACAACAGGTGTGGGCACTTGTGCTTGTCTCACTGAGTCGCCCCCCAGATCTGGGTGCTCTCTTACGCCCAGTGTCAGAGGACAGTGCGGCTTCATCAGGGCGAGTGACGGGGAGGAGCAGCAGGGTTTCCCCACCCCCTCCTTCCCCGGGAAGCACAGGTATTTATCAAAGCCCCAGTGAGTGACCAAACACAGTGCGGGTTAGCGCCTTGCCCCGAGCTGATGTAGGAATCGCTTCTCCCATGGCACCGGGCCCTCTAAGATAGCGGTTCTCAACCTGTGGGTCGCGACCCCTTCCAGTGAGTGACCACACACTGTGCGGGTTAGCGCCTGCCCCAAGCTGATGTAGGAACTGCGTCCCCCGTGGCACCCGTCCCTCTAAGACAGTGGTTGGCAAACTGCGGCTCGAGAGCCACACGCGGCTCTTTGGCCCCTTGAGTATGGCCACGAAGTTTCAATCGCACTGTACGTGCGTGCCCGCACGTGGTATTTTGTGGAAGAGCCACACTCAAGGGGCCGCAGTTTGCCGACCACTGCTCTAAGAGGAAAGAAAAAAGAGAGCAAAATCAGTTCTTGCCTTTGAACCCACAAGTACTTCCTAAGCTCTGAGTGGTTTTGCGAGGCCCCTTCAGGACTCAGTGGTTGAAACCTGCCCCACCTCTGACCTCTGTGCAGTAACCTCCCAACCCTCCTGACGCTTGTCTTCTGATACTGGTGCAATGAACCCAGTTATTAATTAACAGGAAGGGAGCAAAGGGAAGGCCGAATACCACAGGCCTTCATTTGTGCAGCCTGGCCAGGAAGCGGCAGGTGAACGCTGCCCAGGTCCATTCCCCGCCGACCACCGGGAGAAGGGCCTGGACAGGGCGAGAATGGACACACGCCCAGGAAAGGCTGGGTGACATAGGGAAGGTGCTTGTCTGTCAGCCACACCCGGGAACAGGTCACTGGCCAGAGGAGGCGTGGCCACTACAAGTGTGGGAAGATTTGAGAAATTTAAACTCCTAAACAAAGGAGTTCACGTTCTTGTGCGCTTGACTCCCGGGCTGAGGCAGGTGGGAAGGGCCTTACGCTCCTGCATTCGCCCCCGAGGTCACACCATGCGGACCCCACACAATGGGACTGATGGGCTGCAACCAGCCTGGTGCTGAACGGACCCAGCTCAGAACGGAAGCTCTGGACCCTGGCTCTGCGTCTGGCTCTGCTGAAGCCCAGCTGCACATCTTCCAGGACCGGAAGAAGGGAAGCGGGACTTTAGGAACCGAGGGATGCAATTCCACGCAAACAAAGCTTTCTACCACATCTCATCCCCCCCGTGGGGGCCTCCAGATATGCTCATTCCAGCGGAACCCCAAGAACCCCACTCCCACCAGCAACGGAGAAAGACCATCCACGCATTTCTTCTATAACATGCAGTTGTCACCCCCAAATGGATTTGTCCCCTTGTTTACTGCCATTTCCTCTTCAGGATGGAGGCACCGCAGGACTGGTCTGTCCTGTGCAGCACTGTAGCCAGTTTGCAGCACCATCCCGGGCACTTAGGAGCCTCGGTACCTGAACAAGAACGCGGGACGCAGCCAGCGATGTGATGGAACACACAGGAACTGCCTCCGGCCAGCAGGGACCTCCTGGCACTCCTTGGTGACGGCAAAACTCAATGCCCAGACCCCCACTCACCGAGTAATGCCACCAAGAGCAGAATCACCACGATGTTGTTGACGTTCTTCTCCTTGTAGAAGTACAGCAGCAAGCAGAACAGAATGATCTCCACCAGCTACGGGAAGCAGCAAGAGGGGGTCAGCAGGGGCCACGGGGACAGGCAAGACCAGGAGGCCCTGGGGGGCTGGGCTGGGGGTTATGCTGCTGATTTCATGAGTCACAGACCCTCAGGGTCGAAAGGGCATTGAAACACCCAGCATTCCCCGAACGACTGACGGGAAGGCGGGGACGCTGAGTGACTCTCGAATCCCTGGACGACACTGAGGAGTGTGCTTCATGGCTGAGCTTGGAGGGTGAGGGGCTGGCCCCACAGCCTCCCTGTCTTGGATGGGCAAGAGTCATCAGGCTGAGATGGTCTCCGCCCACTTTGCTGCTACATGGGTCACCCCACTAAAACTGGAGGTCGGTCAAAGGGGGATGCTTGCTCACGGAGAAGAGCTCTCTGGTGCAGTGGACAAGTATATACGCCCCTGGCCCCCTAGACAAGCCTCCAATGTGTGCGGATCAGTAGGGTAGAAAGAAGAGGACACCAGCCCAGCCAGCGTGGCTCAGTGTTTGAACATCGACCTATGAACCAGGAGGTCAGGGCACATGCCCCTGTTGCGGGCTCGATCCCCAGTAGGGAGCGTGCAGGAGGCAGCCAATCAATGATGCTCTCTCATCACTTTTGTTTCTATCTCTCTCCCTCTCCCTTCCTCTCTGAAATCAATAAACACATATTTTTAAAAATATATATTTTATTGATTTTTCACAGAGAGGAAGGGAGAGGGAGAGGGATACAGAGTTAGAAACATCGATGAGAAACATCAATTCAGCTGCCTCTTGCACGCCCCCTACTGGGGATGTGCCCACAACCCAGGTACATGCCCTGGACCGGAATCGAACCTGGGACCCTTCAGTCCGCAGGCCGACGCTCTATCCGCTGAGCCAAACCGGTTAGGGCTAGATTTTAAAAGAAAAGAAAAGAAAGAAGAGGACACGAGTCAGGGAGGCCCCGGTTTGACCTGGGATCTGCTTCTGAACTAGCGGTGTGACCTTGGGCAAGTCACTTCTCTAAACCTCAGTTACCTTCTCTGTGAAATAGGGATGATAATTCTTATCTTACATGGTAGTGTCGCAGGTTCCCTTAATGAACACATAAATAAGCCAGAGACCACTCTCACCATTTTATTTATACTCAAGTAATTAAATTGACACCATAATTCTATGAAGTAGAATTATGGTACAGTCACCACCCCAAGCTTGTAAATGGCAGAGCCGGGATTTGAACCTGGACAGTCTAACTTAAAGTCTGGCTCCAGGGCCCACGTGCTGTACTGCTAGGCTACACTCCCCGAGGCCAGGAGGCCACAATGTCTGGCATTTAGTAGACTGTTACTATGAGACAATGGCAAATCTAAAGCTTGACAAGTTCCCTCATCTTGGATTAACAACTTGTCCTTTCTACTCCTCAAAGGCTCGGACATTGGGCAATAGTTCCCCAAGAAGGAAAGCCAGCCCCTGCACCCGGCAAAACTAAAGCAGAACAATCCGACAATGGCTCGGCTCCATTTGCCTACCCCAACCTCCTACCGGAGTTTATTTATTATAAAAACCGATGCAGATACATTAATGGGCATTTTGAAGAGAAAAAATTTTAGAAAATTCCTCATAATGAGAGACCGCAAAACACAGCTGTTCTCATTTTCCTGTTTCTTCCTGTTTTTGTCACAGTGAATACATATTTTACCTACTTGTCATCACAGTCAACGCACAGTTTTGTACCGGGCTGCTTTTGGTTACCATCAACAATGTTCATGTTTTATGAAGTTGTCATAATTAGCTATAATGGCTGCAGAACAGCCCATCCAGCAGATGGAGAGAGTTATTGAGCATTCCCAGCCATTGTGCGTGCATGCAGGGGGGCCCATTTTTCGGCCATTCTTCCCGAAGCCTAGATGCAAGCTGGAACGGCACGTGGCGTTGTCTCGTGAGAGGGCTGTGCATGAGTGGGTGCCTCTGGGCAGACCAGGAGTTCTGTGGGCATGTCTCATGTATTGTTTTTTAACCCACAGTGTCTGGCACCTAACAGACTCTCAGAAATATTTATTGATTTGATTTGGCTGCATCTCTCTAGCTGGCAGCGCCGTCTCGGTCACAAGGAAAGAAGATCAGCTGAACCGTCCCTGGGCATCGTGTTCCTCTCCCAACAAGCAGCCCAGGGCCAGCGACTCCGCCGTTTAGAGAAGGAGACAGGGCTTCCGGTTCAGTGACTGGGCCGAGGCCACACCGCCAGACATTGTGGCCTCCTGGCCTCAGGCAGCGTAGCCTAGCAGTATAGCACATGGGCCCTGGAGCCAGACTGTGAGCTAGACTGTCCAGGTTCAAATCCTGGCTCTGCCACTTATAAGCTTGGGGTGGTGACCGTACCATAATGCTACGTCATAGAGTTATGGTGTCAATTTAATTACTTGAGTATAAGTGGATTCGAGCCTGTGTTGAGGGTAAACTTTTTCCTACACAGGTGGGTCTTCGGCTCTGTCCTGCAGGTAACTAACTGCTGGGGCTGGCCCGCAGGGAGGTGACACAGCCCCGTCTTGGGGGTATCTTTCTCCTGTCCTGTGGGAAAGCTGAGGAAAAGGGGTGCGCGGAGACCTCCGGAGCGGTCCCAGGCTGCCCACCTCAGGAGGGCACAGTCAACACTGGCGTTGGCAGCCATGGCGGAGGACGGTGGCACCGAGGCCAGGCAGGCCTGGCTTTGAGTCCAGCTCCGCTCTCATGGGACTCAGAGCAAGTCAGCTACCCTCCCTGAGCTCCGGTTTTCTCATCCAGAAAATGGAGAGAAAAACACTTACTTTGCAGGGCTGTTGAGAGAACCTGAGATGACACACAGAGCCAGGCCGGGGGCAGGAACACACCAGCAGCTTTGGCAAACACCTTGAATGTTTTCCTCGACTAGTTTATTTGCAGACCTAACATGGGATGTAACTGGGCCGAGAGAGGCCTGAGCTCTGGCTGGGCGTTCAGGGGACAACGTTTTCACCTAACACGGGATGTAACTGGGCCGAGAGAGGACTGAGCTCTGGCTGGGCGTTCAGGGGACAACGTTTTCAGTGTCTGCCGTGTTTCTATCAGCTTCTACCAGCTGCCCAGTGATACTGGGCAAAAATAAGTAAATAACATGTGATAACTGTTAACATTTTTAACTTTTCTTCTTACCATAAAAGTGTGAAATGCTCCCTGTAGAAATTCTGGATGATACATAAAGATGAAGACAAAATAAAACTCAGTCATAATTCTATCTCCTCAAGACAACTACGGATGGAACTTGTTTTTGCATCTAGTCTTTTATAGATACACTAGAGGCCCAGTCCACGGATTCGTGCACCAGTGGGGTCCCTCGGCCTGGCCTGCGGGGATTGGGCCGAAACCGGCTCTCCGACATTCTCTGAGGGGTCCCAGATTGCAAGAGGGCAGTTCTCGGGTGACACACCCCAGAATCGGGCTCCCTCCTCTCTGGTTCCAGGTGTGTCACCCAAGAACCACAGCTGCCAAGTCACCGCAGATTGGCAGCTCCTGCGTTGAGCGTCTGCCCCCTGGTGGTCAGTGCGTGTGATAGCTACCGGTTGGACAGTTGAACGATAGGACAGTCGCTTAGGCTTTTATATATATAGATTAGGTGTGCATACCCACAAATACCTCTGAAGAATAAAGTTACCACACTCCATATGCAGTTTTAAACATTCCCCAGGACCTCAGCGAAGAAAGCATCTCCCTGTGGACCGTGTACCCTCTTCAGTGCTGTGGAATACGTCACGATTCACATGAACACCCTAATGCTGGGCACTAAGGCTTCTGGTTTCTAAGACGCAATCCCCCCGCCCAGTGTTTCAGGTGGAAGGACCAGGCTTCTCTTACCATGTACAAGAGAAAAGGCCAGCTCACGAGGTGCCTGGTGATGTTCTCGCCCGTCATCTTCTCGTGGCTGTTGGGTGCGAATGTCACCAGCAGGTAGGTGCCCACAATGGCCAAACCGCAGCCGACAAAGGACAAGACGTAGCGCCCTGCGGGGAAGGGGAGGCTGTCAAGGGCTCACAGCAGGCACAGGCCCCGGCCAGGGTGTGCTTCTGGGGCAGCACAGCTGACCTGTTGTAGTTTATACTGTTGGGTTTTCTTTATTTAAAAAAGAGATGATCTTTTTTTTTTTTTTAATGAGGTGTAGCATGCATACAAAAAAGGGCTTGATGGGGCTGGCTGGTGTGGCTCAGTGGATAGAGCATCGGCCTGTGTACTGAAGGGTTGCAGGTTGATCCCTGGCCCCACGTCAGAGCTCGTGCGGGAGGCAACCGATCGATGTATCTCTCTTACATCGATGTTTCTCTCTTTCTCTCTCCCTCGCCCCTCATTTCCTTCCACTCTCTCTATCAATGGAAAAATGTCCTCTGTGAGGATTAACACCCCCAAAATGCTCAACGAATTCTTACAAAGTGAGCACACCCATATAACCAGCACCCAGATCCAAAAGGGAACCTTCACAGGACCCCCAAATCCTCACGTGTGCCCCCTCCCAATCACTGGACCCCACCCCCAGGGTAACACTTTGACTTCTACCAGCACTGAGAGTGCCTGGTTTGTTCTTTACCTAAATGGGTTCATACGGTATATTCTCTTGTGTCTGTGCTCACACCAGATGAAGCCTGTGAGCTTCATCTCTATTGTATGTGTAGCGCTACTTCCTTCGCTCTCCGGTCCACTGTGTGAATAGGACACAGTGTGTCCATTCTACTGTTGATGGGCATTTAAGGTGCCACCATCATGTCACTCCTGAACTCCTTAGCACAGCTTATAAGGCTGGACATCATCCAGTCCTCCAGGCCTCCTTGCTCTCATGTCCTCCTTCCCACTTTACTCATCACTCTCCACCACTGGCCTCACCGATACTGGACACACCAAGCTTTCTCCTACCCCAGGGCCTTTGTACCTGCTGCTCCCTCTACACGGAACACGCTGCTCACAAACTTGGCATAGTAGTCTCCTTAGTATCACTTTAGGTTTGGGCTGAAAATTCTCCTCTTCAGAGAATCTAACCCTGACCAGTCTAGGTAACGTGTTCCCATGTTCCCAGGGCCTACCAAGAAGCATACGATTTAGAAATATTTTGTTTATTTAGTTGTTCACTTGTTTATTGTATGCCCTCCCCACCAACACACACACACACACACACACACACACACACACACACACACACACAGACTATAATCTCCATCCACACAGGAACCCTGTCTGTCCTACTGCTGTATCCCTGGCCCCTGCAACAGAGTGTGGCACTTAGTAGGTGTCTTAGGGGAACACGTCTTCCCCACTCCCCGGGTTTCCTGTGGGGGGAACTCCACTGGACAGACACTTCAGTCTCTTGCCTCATTGTCTGCATTTCTCAACTGAGTGGGGCCAATCTATCAAAAGAATTTATGCCCCGAGGTTTTGAGGTTTCTTGTTCCATCCTTTTCTGCCCCAGACTGTGTGAGGCTGTAATTCTGGGGAGGTGTTCTGTTCTGCAAACCCAAATGTCTTCTTGGGAGACCGGCCCAGGGTCTAGTTGGGACACAGGGAGGACGTCCATTTGGCGGCACCCCTACGCTGCATGCTCTGATTTAGCGTTTGTTGGTGATAAAGCGCACCAGCTGATCTCCGGTGTCTGCCCTCCGTGTTTACGTCCCGCTGCTTTAGAACGCAGGGAGGGAACGAGGGTGCCTTTCCTCTGGCTTCCTAAAATCCCAACAGCAGGTGCTCAATCAACACTGATTTTTGAATGGTTTGGGAGCCACTGATGAAAAACCCAGCTCTCCCGATGAGAGTGGAATATAGACCCACACCGGGCGCAGGGAACAGACAGCCTCTAAACTGCCGAGAGCTGGCGTTAAAACGAGGAAAAGACAAGCACAACATTAGGAACAGGGGCTCCAATCGGTGCACTTACTCAGGAAGTCTTTAGGTTTCCACTTTTCCTTGATGAATATGATTCCTATGATGGCGCTCGCTAAAACAGACAGACAGACAGAAAGCACAGGGAAAAGAGAATGAGGTGCCATCCGTCAGTCACAAGGAGTCCCTTCGCCCATGCCCACGGGGTTGGCTCATCTGCGTGCGTTGGAGCCTGGTACTTCCTGTCCTCTCACGCATGCTCCCAAGAGCTCAGCCCCTGCTGGTCTCCCTGTGGGTCTCTCTCGGAAAGGGAGGCTCCTCTCTGGGCCTTCCTGAGGATTTCCTACATGCCCAGGAGCACTGTGTGTTGAGTACTTGCTGGGCGACAGGCAATTGACTACAGTTATTTCTGGTACGTTCACCCTTTGAGGTGGGTGCTGCTGTTATTCCCATTTGAAAAACGAGGACACTGAGAGAGGTGAAGACCCACGCAAGGTCATGAAGCTGGTAGGCACAGGCTAGCCTCGAACCCAGGACCACGGACGGCCAGGGCTCTGGCTCCTTGTACTGCAGTGTCTACTGCTGACATTTTCACCTGGATCTTGTTTCTCCCTGACTTGCTGCACGGAAGATGCACTCAAACTTCTGTGACTGCCCTAAAGGGTGGGTCTCAGGTCCCTACTCTATGACATTTTTCCAGGTCGGGGCAGGGGGTGCGGAGGGGGAACCTCCAATGGACAGGCCCTTCTGTCTCTTGCCCCATTGTCTGCATTTCTCAACGGAGTGGGGCCAATCTATCAAAAGAATTTACACACTGAGGTTTGGTTCTTTGTCCTTCCTTTTCTGTCCCAGACTAAGTGAGGCTGCCATTCTGGGGGAGTGTTCTGTTCTGCAAACCCAAATGTTTTCTGGGAGACTGGCCCAAGGTCTAGTTGGGAAATGAGAAGACAGTCCTTTTGGCTGCACCCCTAAGCTGCATGCTCTAATTGAGCTTTTATTAGTAAAAAAGCATAACTTCTGATCTGTATCTGACTCCGTGCTTATGTCCCGCTGTTTTAGAACGCAGTGAAGGAAAGGGGGTGCTGGATCCGGCTTGCAGCAGCTGCGGTTGCTACATATTCAGGAAACCATGGGTAGCTTGAAAACAGCCACAGTAGGCATGTTTACACCATGTAAATCAGAAACACTACAAATCAGGTCTTCCTTTGCTCCCTCCCGCTTTCTGTCCCTTCCCTCCTTCCTCCTGCCTCTTCCTCCTCTTCGTTCACTCTCCCTCTCAGTGGCTTTATCAGCACACCACTGAAAATACCCCCTTCTCCTAGCAATAGGGGCAAATCAACAAGATAATACGTGGAAATCACCTGTCACATGGTAAATGCTCAAAAACTGGACTATAATTATTATTAAAGTACTTGGAACAGTGACTCATAAGTACTAAGTATCCGTAAATGGTGGTTATTGTTATTTTTAAAATTATGTCTCACTGGGTGACTTGAGAAGCTGTAAGAACCTCTTAATTTTCAGTGGCTGCTACCTGAAGGCCCATCATTATAATTCAGCCCCTCGTTTTGAAGAATTTGATTATTTCATCTTTATTAAAATTCAAAGACTAATATTTAATGCATTTGATCACTCAGCCACGCACTCCTCACTGTGAATGAAGTTCTGAAAGCCCTTTGGCAAGGTCAGCCATGGGCAGAGGACAAATCTAAATAACTGTAGGGGCTGGGCAGACACACAGATGTAGGAAGTGGGTCAGACGTAAGACAATAGGAAAAGGTTCGGGCTATGGCCCACAACCTGCCTCAACTAAAGGCATTCAAACTATATTTTTAAAAGATACTGTGTGGGTGGCCAGTGTACCAAGCCTGGTCAAGAAAATGAGGGTCTTATCATAGGATCAGCAAAAGCAAACAGGTTTCCACTCCTTTGCCAGTTCTTGGTAATTGGCAGTGGCTGCCTGACTCTGAGAATGCTGAGGGCCCATCGAGGCTCACCAGGAAGGAATGCCATGATGGATGCATGATGTCTGTGCTCTGTAAGGGCTTAGATTATCTTGACGGTGTTGGGATGAATAGGTTAAGTGTATCTTCCTTCTGAAGTGGAAATAAAAAGCAGTCTAGGGGACATCTATAATAATGTCAACAACTTAAAAAAAAAGCAATGCTGATAAACTTTCTGAATCTTAAAACAGATTCTGGAGGCAGAGAGTCTAGTTCATATACCAGCCCTGTTCCTCACGGACTGTATGATTTGGGGGAAGTAACTTCATTCTGTGCCTCGGTTTCCTCGTCTGTAAAATGGGGATAATAACAGTATCTCCCGCAAAAGGCTGCCAAGCGGGTTAGAAGAATTAATACCCATAAAGGAGGGCAGGGCCCGGTGTGAATGAAGCCCTTTTAAGCGCTAGCTGTTATTATGCAAGCAAAAGCTGGTACGCTTAACAGGTATCATTGATCCTGGTGGTCACACAAGCAATTGAGTCCCAGGGAGGGATGGGGAGGCTGGTCTTACCTATCACAGAGACTGCGCTGAGGGGCACGATCAGTGAGAGAGGAGCGAAGGCGTAGGAGGCAAACACGCCCAGCTCGCCCAGCAGCAACAGGAACAGGCCCAGCCACCATGTCTTGGTCTTGAAATAGGCCCGGGGGTCCTTGGTGCCTGCCAGCCGGATGTGGCAGTACTTCTAGAACAGTAAGTAAAGCAGTAGCGATCTGAGTACTAAATTGTTATTCAAAGACAGTAGTTTCCAAACTGCCCGGGAAGCCTTAACAATTCAATACATGAGCCTCAGCTTCAGAGCAGGTGTGGGTGGAGCCTGGGAATGTGCGTTTCTAACACGTCACAGCGTGTGCAGTCTGGGGCGGGAGCCACGGGCTAGGCACCCCCACTTTAGCCACCCCTACTTTAGCCTGGCCTCAGGCTGGCCCTCTCCCTCTGACTGCAATGCCCGAGGGTCCCCATGTCCGGGTGCCTGCTCAGCTGCACTCTCTTCTGTAGGAGGGTGGGCAGCTCTGCTGGGCAGCCCTGTGGGTATCAGCGGACCCTGCCTTCCCTCGGGTGGGTACTTGGGCCAAGGAAGGCCAGTATCCCTAGTTCTGGAAATGTGAACGTGGGGCGCAGAAACCAAGGCAGTGACTAAGGAAAGACCACAGGGTATTGTCCCAGGCCCATCCCAGGGATGGAGTGGGCAACTTCCCCCAGAGTGGAGGCAGCTGGGCCGGCACCAGACACCCTGGCTTATCGGCTGCATCTCTGCCCCAGCCAGTGCTGGTGACTGACACTCACCTGGAGGTTAAGTGCAATGCTGACCACAAGGTGCCCGAAGATGGCCAGGAGGGCGCCGATCAGGTTTTCCTATGAGGAAAGTTCACAGAAACAGATGAAGTTGGGCCGAAGCTCAGGGGCCCCAGGACCCATTTCCCAGCGGTTTGAACAGGTTCTCAACACTTCTAGATAAAAACCGGAACTTGGAACAGAACGGATAGTAAACTCCCATTCTAGCAATCAGTAGTATTTGTCTTGAGTACTGAAAGAACAGTCCCATTCTTCTCATTCAAATATTCATTCCTAGAGCAGTATTATTTTTTACTTAATAATTACTATAAAACATTATGTTGCATTAATCAATGGTATCAATTAAAAAACACTTCCAGGTTTTTATACCAAAGAACTTCATGCCAAAGGAACTTTTTAAAAATGAAATTTGATTACATACTCTACATTCTTTCTTGTATAGAAGTATGATAAGTGTTCATAAAATGTGTAAGTGTTAAAAGATAGACACAAATTTGTGATAAAATGCTGTGGGGAAAACAGAAGAGAAATACATATTCAAGGAGAAAAAGGAATGTTGTAACATTTCCAGCTGTTACAGAAGAGCCTTCAGAAAGCCGGTGGTCAGTGTCAAGTGGTCTTTATATTCCCTAGGCTTCATTAAGTGCAGAAGAAGTGTTTTGTTTTGTTTTTTATTTTTTAAAAAAATATGTTTTTATTGATTTCAGAGAGAGGAAGGGCAAAGGAGAGAGATAGAAACATCAATGATGCTCAACTACTGAGCCACCCAGCCAGGCTTGTTTTTTATTTTATTTTTAAAAATATATTTTTATTGATTTCAGAGAGGAAAGGAGAAAGGGGGGGGGCATCAATGATGAGAGAGAATCACTGATCCACTGCCTCCTGCATGCTCCCTACTGGAGATTGAGCCCACACCCCAGGCATGTGCCCTTGACTGGAATCGAACCTAGGACCCTTCAGTCCGCATTGAACCCAGGACCCTTCAGTCCGCAGGCCAAGGCTCTATCCACTGAGCCAAACCAGCTAAGGCCATTTTTTAAATCAGTATGTAGATGTGCCAGGAATGACATCCTTTGCAAATATTTAAGTTTATAATGGAAAGTTATAAGTTTTATTTATTTAAAATATATTTTTATTGATTTCAGAAAGGAAGGGAGAGGGAGAGAGATAGAAACATCAATGATGAGACAGAATCATTGATCGGCTGCCTCCAGCACATCCCCTACTGGGGATCGAGCCCGCAACCCAGGCATGTGCCCTTGATCGGAATCGAACCTGGGACCCTTCAGTCTGCAGGCCAATGCTCTACCCACTGAGCCAAGCCTGCCAGGGCGAAAGTTTTAAGTTTTAGATGTCAACTTGAGACAGTATAGGGACTGCGCTCAGGAGTGACAAATATACCTGGTGGCCAGAAGGAACATCGGGTATGATGACCACAAGCATGTCACCGCTCTCCACTCCCTGCTTTTAAAAACATGCAAAATTTTATCTCCCTTCTAACCACTTGCTTCTCCCTTGCTTCTACCCTGATGTGGAAAATCCCACAAGCCCCCCTTTTTCTAAAAGCCCATGTCTTCGTGCAAGCCTGCTTCGCCCCCAGCTTATAAGAAGCCAAGCAGAGCCAGCCCCGAGCCAGCTCAGGGGACCAGCCTTTCCTCTGTGCTGCCTGCCTTGTGCTCAGGAAAATGCTTAATAAAATCTGTCTGGAAATTTCTCTGGGGTCTCCTCTCGATTTCTATCTTGGGGAACCCAAGAACCCTGATGCCAGTAACCAACTAAAAGAATGTGTGAGGAGCCCTAGCCGGTTTGGCTCAGTGGGTAGAGTGTCGGCCTGTGGACTGAAGGGTCCCGGGTTCGATTCTGGCCAAGGGCACATGCCTGGGTTGCAGGCTCGATCCTCAGAGTGGGACGTGCGGGAGGCAGCCGATCAGTGATTCTCTCTCGTCATTGATGTTTCTATCTCTCTCTCCCTCTCCCTCCCTCTCTGAGGAAACACACAGTGCTTCTTCAGAAGGTCCAGTCTGAGGACCTCAAAGGCAGCCCTTCATCAAGTGCGGCTCTTAAAGATACAAAGCAGAGACCTCAACCTCCTGAGGGTCAAATAAACACCTGGTGGCCAAGCATGTGTTCCGCCCAGTCATTTAGTTCACGGTGCTAAGGAGGAGGCGGAATTGTTAAAAAGGGTTAACGAGCAGATTCTACAGGAACTGCCTCGGTCAGACAGGCGACAAAAAGACTCTGGTTCCAGCTCCAACACCTCAGAGCTGCTCGATCACCTGTACGGGGAATGAAGGAGAGCTGGACACAGCCTCCAGGACTTGGGCAAAGGCCAGAGACCTGAGCAAGGGCTGTTCAGAGGACGCTGCTGGGGTCAGGTGGCCCGGTGACATTGGCTTGCTTCAGCCTGGGTGCCTTTCTCCCTGGGGAATAACAGTGCCCCCACCTCCCGCCCAGGGTTGGTGCATGAACCTCCTCAGATAATTTGAAGACAGCACTTAGCATTAGGGTGAACCATATGAAACTGCCAATATTCAGCTGCCTTCGACCTGCCAAAGCGGCAGTTTCATATGGTTCATTCAACCGGTAGCTGCTCTATTCCTCTACCCAGAGACACCACGCTGTCCCCGCTGATGCCTCAGAGCACCAGGCTGCCTGAGCAGGTGGTGTTGACAACTCGCCAAGTGGAAGGGAAGAGATGAAGGGGGCTGCTGCGTGGCCACACGGACAAGCCAAACCTATTGCAGGGAGCGGGGAGGGGTGGAACCTAGAAATGAAAACTGCAAACCTCCCAAGGGTCAACCAAGCTAAGCAGTAAAAACGTGGTTTAAGGGTTACTATGACAACAAAGGCGGAGGTCTATGGAGCATTTACACACCTGGGCATGGCGCTAGGCCTTTCTACGCATCCCCTCCTCGGGGCCACAAACAGCCCTCTGAAGTGGGTTCTACCACGAGTCCTGTGTTTAGCACATGACGTGGAAAGGAGGCGACAGATGAGCACAGTAAGGCTCAGAGACGTACACTAACTTGCTCAAGGTGAGGACGAAGGGTTTGAAGCTGAGTCTGACTTCCAGTTTCCTGGGGATAATGACCCCTCCAGACCGAGGCTTCAACATAAATTAGGAAAAAAGTAGCCCCACCTTGTAAGTGCTACTTCCCACTAATGACACGGCAGCTGAGGGTTCTTTAAGAAGCCATGTCTGTAAGCATCGTCATCCCCACGGATAATAACTGGTTATAGGCATGTTAGTCGCAGCGAAACGTACCTAACGCCCTGTCATCCAAGCGGTTCAAAGGGCTCCAGCCACACTAATTATGCCCCAAACCCTTGTGAAGTGGCGATTGGTGCAATTTTATGAGAATTTAAAGTCAAGCAAAGAAGTGGCCTTGGGCCCAGGGGTTACAGTTGGAACACACACCTATTAGCCGCCCTCCAGTGTCTGGCCAAGGGCAGTTCAGAGTGGAGGCAACGACCAGCAGGACTCCTGACATTACGCTCCTCCTCCAAGTCTCAGAGCTTGAAAACTGTCAAGTGGGGGTGCCCAGGTCTTCGGGCTGGAGTGGGAACTTTCCCAATCCACACTGCTCCTCTCTTTGCTGAGGAACACTCCGGGTGTTCCCATGGACGTTCTTTAAAGTGTTCCTAAGTAGCCCTCACTGGTTTGGCTCAGTGGATAGAGTGGTCCCGGGTTCGATTTCAGTCAAAGGCAGGTACCTAGGTTGCAGGCTCGATCCCTGGCCCTGGTCAGGGTGCGTGTAGGAGGCAACAAATTAATGTGTTTCTCTCACATTGATGTTTCTCTCTCTGTCTGTCTCTCCCCATCCCTTCCACTCTCTCTAAAAATCAATGGGAAAATATCCTCGGGTGAGGATTAACAACAACGAAACCGTGTTCATAAGTAGACACAGGGATCTGACCCTGGAATCAGTGGCTCTGTCCCTTAGGAAAAGATGCGGCCGAAACAGTGGCGTTCCCACTGCCAGGCAGGTCTCGGGGCAGCCTCAGGTCGCCGCCTTCACCTGCGACATCTTGAGTCCTTCAGCCACAAGACCTGATGGAGAGGATTCTTCTGAGGCAACGCCTAGTTGGGTTTCAACTGAAGTGGAAGGGAGGGGTGGAGGGGAGGAGGGCCGCCCTCATTTTAAAGGCAAATACCTGGGTGGGCGGGGGGAAATCTCTGTTACCTAAGAAGGCCCAAGACTCAGCCAAAGTCACCGAGTGAGCAAGTGGCAGGGCCAGACCTGAACACAGGTCTCCTAACACTTTGGTCCCCAATAGATTACAGGTGAGGAAGTAGTGCGGCCTCCCAACTACCAGGAACCTCCTATTCAGGACATATCTAGTCCAAACCGGGATATTTTGAGAATGACGGGGGCTTTATTAATCTGCATGGACATGAGGCACAAACCAAGACTTTCGGGCACGGTATTCATAGTGCAGCCTCTGAATGGGCGTGTTATTGGCGAGGGAAGTGGGGTGAGGGCAGGCAGCTGGATTTCAGACATGGCTGCTTCTAGCCATGGCTTCAACAGACCCAAATATCAAGGGGGTGGGGAGGGCAGCAAACCAAGCCACTTCTCCCTTTGCTTCTGCTTCCTTGTGTGGACTGTGAACTTTGAATACTACCAACCTGGTCCTGCCTCTGCCACTGACACTGTGTGAACTCTCGGAGCCTCGGCTTCCCCTCTGAAAACTGGAGCTGAGCATAGCACTCCATAGGGTTGTCATGTTATAGAAACTAGAGGCCCGGTGCACAACATTTGTGCAGGGGGGGGGGCGGGGAGAAGGGTGGGTCCCTTAGCCTGGCCTGCACCCTTTAGCAGTCCGGGAGCCCTCAGGGGATGTCTGACTGCCGGCTTAGGCCCGCTCCCCCCTCCCGCGCTGCAGTCAGACATCCTTAGAGCTGCCAAAGAGGTGGGAGAGGCTCCCGCCACCTCCACTGTGCTGGCCAGCTGTCAGCCAGGCTTGTGGCTGAGCGTGGCTCCCTCTGTGGGAGTGCACTAACCACCAGGGGGCAGCTCCTGCATTGAGTGTCTGCCCCCTGGTGGTCAGTGCGCGCCATAGCGACCAGTCATTCCGCCATTTGGTCAATTTGCATATTACCCTTTTATTATATAGGATAAGGCATGTGTTGAAACATTACATGGCACATAATAAATATGAAAACAATTCTAGGTGTTACTATTAATTTTACAATTTTCATTTTCATTATTATCATTACTATTAGTAACAGTAAGGATCCTTCTGGCTCTGATATTCTCTGATCCAAGAATTGACCTTTTACCAGCTACAACTCTGAAAGGAAACAAACTGTTCCGAGAAAAGCAGCCAAAGGTTACTGAGGTATCCAGGTGGAACCTCAGCTCCAATCTCCTGCTGCAAGGACTGCTTTACATCTGCCGACACAGCCTTCATTTAGATTCCACGGTGACAAGACCACTCATCACTTGTTTAACCTGAATTCCCACAATCCCTTGGGCTTAACCTGCTAACAGTGAAGTAGAAGCATTCTGGCTTGCTCTGCGGGTTACTCACAGTCGAATACAAGAGATACGGTAGCAGTCCAGCTACCTAGGCTCTGCTACATGTGTAGCCTGGCTTCAGGCCAGCTCCTGTCGCTTACCTTCTCCAGCAGGCGAGGCACTGCCATTTTGACAATAACCAGTGCCAGGGACAGAAGGGGCTTCCCAGAGTGCTGGCATACTGCAGGCAGCAGGGAGTGGTGCATAGAACCAAAGCCCTTGGCCGTACGCAGACTCCATTCGAATCCCAGCTTTACTACACCTACTGACTGTGTGGCCTTGGGCGAGTTAATTAACCTCTCTGTACCAGTTTCCTCAAATGTAAAATGGGATTATAGTAATAGCCACCTTATGGATTTGTTTGTTTTTTAAATCATCACCCAAGGATATTTCTCTTTCTTTATTTTTAAAAAATAATTCTTTATTGTTGAAAGTATTACATATGTCCCCTTTTTTTCCTTACGGGGGTTTTGTGAAGATTAGCACAGTCCCTGTCATACAGTAAACACTCAACAGATGTTAGCTGCTGTGATGGTGAGGATGATGAGGATGATGATGATGGCTACAGTGATAGTGAATTGGCCATGGAAGTGTGGATAAAGGACCGATAGTTTCCTGCCAGGAAGACTGACAAAGGCTTCATGGAAAAGGTGATACCTGAGCTGGAGCTGGGAGCACGGGCAGGATTTCCAAAATCAGAAATGGGATGGCGCAGGTAGATCCTGTTTCCTCTGCAACGTCAGGTCACCCTCATACCCGCCCTACAGGACGGACCTAAAACTGACCTGCAGCGGAGTTACATGGCTTTCCCCGAGTTATAATGCTAGAACGTGACAGAGCTGAGAGCTGAAGCCCGGTATCTCTGGTTCTAAAGACCATGCTCAAAACACCCTGCTATATTTCTATTTTTGCACAAAATTCTGTCCCGAAGGGTAGGTACCCATGGAAATCGCCTCCTCTACCTCCCTCGTAGATGGTAAGCTCCTCCAGGAAGCGATATCTCAATAATGGACACAGCTCCCATCCCACCCAGTGCAGGCGGCCTGGATGTACAGGGTGTCCCATAAATGTATACACACTTTGAATAATTATAAAGGCAGTGTTGATTAAAATACATTTTATTCTCAAAATGTAATAGAATCTACAGACAAAGTATGTATACATTTTTTCGAGACACCCTCTACATCAGTGGTTCTCAACTTTGGCTGCACATTAGAATCACCTGGGAATCTTTTTAAAATCCCGATTTCTGGGCCTCATCCTCTGGAAATTCTGTTTCTTTGTTACTAATGTTGTGGCCTCACCCCATAACAAAGAAACAGAATTTCCGGAGGATGAGGCCCAGAAATCAGGATTTTAAAAAGATTCCCAGGTGATTCTAATGTGCAGCCAAGGTTGAGAACCACTGCTCTATATGCTCAGTTGAAATTCCTATTTGCTAAATGGAAGAAACCAAGGCCCAACTCTTCTGGGCTGAGGCACAGCCTCCACTGTCAAGGACTGGCTGCCACGCTGCCTCCTGGGTGGCTCAGCCTGTTGGTCCCCCAACAACCAGAATCCATCCCCTGTTGGGTAGGGCGGAGGGCAGGGCTGCAACTCAAGGCAAACTGCTGGCTCTTAACTTGATTTCAGAGAGAGAGAGGGAGAGGGAGAGAGAGATAAGTCCTACTTTTTTCCATAGAATCCTCTAGTAGAATACTGCCTGTGTCTACTTCTCCAGGCCTCAAAAAAATAATAATAATAAATAAATAAAGTGAACTAACCATGCCTTTTTTACAATTGAGATAAAATGGAAATTTTACCCTAATCCATAACACATCTTGTAATATCATAAAATAACAGTATTTCCTGGAGAATGGTGACCTCCTGGTTTATAGGTCAATGCTCAACCACTGAGCCAGCGAGTTTTGATACAGAAGCTCAACAGATTATGGGGCAATCATTCCAACAACAGGCTTTGCATCACCCATCAGTGACGTGGGGAAATGCTCCACAAACAAGGTTAACTGAAACAACCAAGATACAAAACCTCCTGCACAATCAGATCCCAGATTTGTAATTCGGGAAAAAGACAGGGAGCAAGTAATGCTGAAGTATGAACCCAGGTGGTGTATGAGTAATGGGATAGGTGATTTTTTTAAAGAAGTAAATCTTCGAAGTGTGACTGCATTCCTTTAAAAATATTTCTTTACCTCCGTATTGTTTTGTATTTGAATGAGCATTTCTTTTCTTTTGATTATACTTTCTTCCACGTGTGTGGAGCGCCTGCCTGTATCTGCCAGCGATAGGCACGCAGACCCTAGACATCTCCGTTAGCCAATGGATGCTGTGCTGTGTTACCTTCTTGTTAGAGAAATACACAATTCCAAAACAAAAAACAAACAAACAAAAAGCTCTTGCCTTGTAGGAGAAGGAACCCTGGCTCCCGGGGTCGGCGCTGCTCGTGGGCGGGAGCTGCTGCAGCTGCAGGGCTGCGCTGTGGGCTCGGTCCATGGTGTCTAAGCGCACATCCCGCGGGCCTGGCTCAGAAGCTGGGCTGCACTACGCGGGACCGGAGCGGTGGGCCATCGTCCCCGGCGGTGTTCACCTCCTCCCACCAGCCATCTCTGTCTCACGCCAAATCCGTCCTTCAAGACCCTTCTGGCTGATTTATAGCCTTTTCCTCATCTTCACTCAGAGACGTGCAAATTCCTGCAAGTGGACAACCAGGGATGCGTTTCCTGATTCCTGCGGTGCTCTGGGGGTTGGGAATGGGGG